CTGGTTAGCAGTCAAGTCCCTTAGGCACTATGCTAACAGAGGCTTGTGGGGATGGGACTATGCAAATAAAGGGTAGGAACCCTAAGAAGGGGATTGGTCAGTTTTGCCATCCTGCTCAGTTTAAAAGAAAGCCAATCCCAAAGTAAAGAGGGGACCTCACGATCATCAAGAAAGAAGACCAGGAGTGGAGCGTGTCCTCTGGACCCAGGGCCCCTGAACTGAGAGCCTCCTAGGCCCAGGCACTGAGGGCCACACCACTGGAGGTGACGAGAAGCAGTGACAAGCAGCAGCAGAGAAATGGCACCAGGAAAGGCAGCAGAGCCCGGAGAGCAGGAGGACGGTGCGGTGGGCTTCCAGCCCAAAGAGCAAGAGCGCTGAGCACGCGCGGGCAGGAGCCTCGCTGGCTGGGTGGGGTGTCTCTGGGTGCTTGCTGGAGGAGCTAAGAGCTCTGTACCACTTGCCCAAGCAAGGCAGAGGCCAGGCCAGCCCAAGAGGCCTGAATGGCTGAGAGCCAGAGAGAGGCTTGCCTGCAGACACGGCTGAGAGACGCTGTCCTGACTGAGAAGCTGCATCCTGAGTTGTTTCTGATCCTGACTTGTAGCTTGTCCTTTCCCTAATAAACCCCATCATCGTGAGCATGGTCTGTGAACTCCATGTGACTGCTGCAATCAATTATCGAACCCAGCAGAGAAGTACAGAGCAGCGTGGGAGGGATGGCCTTTGTCAGGACCGGTAAAAAGGCTGGAGGAACCATCTCGGGCTGCTGACTTTAATTCCTCCCCCTGGTGAAGTCCGAGGAGGTCTAATGCCACCCACCACACCATTTTCACAGTTGGTGTCACAAGTGGGATTCACTGCCATGGCTTCAGGCTCTGGCAGGTGTGGGAATATGGTAGAGAAAGGATGAAGGGACAGGGGAAGCAAAACCTTTGATTCCTAGGTGGTTACTTTGGTTGTTACCTGTCAGGGGCAAAAGGAAAGAAGAGATGTTATGACAGCTGAGAGGAGAAAACTTCATCTGGAGCGGCTCAGAGCAAGTGTCAGGCCACTTAAATGGGACGATTCGTAGGGTTTTGCCCAGCCAGAGGCCCAAGGCATGTATACATGAAGGGAGACAGTCAAGGTGTGGAGAAGAGAAGGTGATACTAGAATGTTCGAAAAGGGCTATGTGTTCATTTGAAAGTGCTGTGGCTTTCGAATGCCTCTCCAACTCAGTGTTGTAAACAGACTTAAAGGTAGGATAGAAACAAATATTGGGTATTAGAGATGACAGAGAGCGTGTGACCCCGCCTTCAGCCAATACTTGACTGGATGTGCTAAAAGCACGAGGAGCTGCCTGACAGAAACACAGGCTGGTGGTTTGGACACAGCGTTGTTGTTGGGTGCCACTGAGTCGGTTCCGAGTCCCAGTGACCTCACGTACAACAGAACAAAGCTCTGCAGGTCCTGCGCTGGCCTCACGGTCACTGCTGCGTCTGCGTCCATTGTTGCAGCCACCATGCCAATCCATGCAGTGGAGGGTTCCTCCTTTTTGGCTGACTCCCCACTTTACCCAGCATGATGTCCTTCTTCAGGGACTGGTGTCTCCTGGTGACATGTCCAAAGTACATGAGACTAAGTCTTGCCATACTGTCTTCTAAGGAGCATTCTGGCTGTCCTTCCTCCAAGACAGTTTGTCCATTCTCCGGGCAGTCCACGGTGTGTAGTCCGTGTTCTTCACCACCATTCAAACGCATCCATTCCTCCTCAGTCTTCCTTACTCGCTGTTCAGCTTTCACGTGCATATGAGATGACTGAAAATACCACAGCTTGGGAGAGGTACACCTTACTCCTCACAGTGACATCTTTGCTTTTTAACACTTAATAAAGAGGTCTTTTGCAGCAGATTTGCCCAATGTAACACATCGTCTGATTTCCTGACTGCTGCTTCCACGGCCTTCCTTGTGGATCCAGGTAAATGAAATCCTTGGCACCGTCGATCTTTTCTCCATTTATCACAACGTTGCTTATTGGTCCAGTCGTGAGGATTTTTGTTTTCTTTATGTCGAGGTATAATCCACACTGAAGGCTGTAGTCTATGATCTTCATTATAAGTGCTTCAAAGTATCTTCACTTTCAGCAAAGTCGCATCATCCCTATGTCAGAGGTTGTTAATGAGCCTTCCTCCGACCCTGATGCTGTGTTCTTCTTCATATAATCCAGCTTCTCAAATTACTTGCTCAGCAGACAGACTGAATAAGTATGGTGAAAGGATACAACTCTGACACACGCCTTTCCTGATTGTAAACCATGCAGTCTCCCCCGTTCTGTTCGAAGGACAGCCTCTTGATCTGTGTACAGGTGAGGTGAAGTGTTTTGGAATTCCCCTTCTTTGGAATGTCATCCATAACTTGTTACGATCCACACAATGTGTTGTGACCCACACAGTCAGGTGTGAACATCTCTCCGGTATTCTCTGTTTTCAGCTCAGATGCATCTGAGGACAGCAACGGTACCCTGTTCCACCTCCTCCTCCTCCGAAGCCAGCTTGTGTTTCTAGCTCCCCCTCCATGGACTGCTGCGACCACTCTGGAATGCAGTCATCCTGTGTGTAGAGTACTGGGGGCTCAGGTGGAAAATTGGGCCCCACCCAGGAAATCTGCATTTGAGAGCACACACACACACACACACACACAGACCTCTCTGGAACTGCTGAGAGAACAGGGAATTTGCATTTTAAGGAAGGTCCTGCAGAGAAAAACAAAATGACCATTTTGCTTTTTAAATTTCAAGCAAGCAGTTTGCCATTGGATGCATGAGGCAGGAAAAGTCAGTGCCCAATAGCTGGTGAGTAACTGCCTTCCAAACAGCAGGTATCACGTTGCAGCCTCTGGCAACTTTCTGGTTCAGAATCCCAGTGGTCACCACACCGCAGTGCCTCAGGTTTTGCCATAAGCTCCCGTCTGCAGACACCTCCAAATTCATGTCTGAATGTCGATCCTGAGGGCCCACGGTAGGGAGAGCGAGACCGCCTTCTGTGATGCAGACACAGTCTGCTCTCGCTCTGTATCCCGACTGTCATCGTCTGACCTCCGGTTCTCGGAACTCCGAGCCAGCAGCCTGTCCTCTGAACCGCAAACGTGGGTTTGTCGGCCCCTGCAACCACATTAGTGAAGAGAGTCCTCCAGACTAACGTCTAACCCACAGAGTGGGATCCACCAGCCTCCACAACCACGTGAGGCACTTCCTTAACAGTTCGGGAGTTCTGAGACGCTGCAGTGATTTACAGCAAATTACAGACCCCAGACGGGAGGGGGTACTGACGGGAGGAGGAGGAGTTGATGTCAGAGATGGTGGAGTGGCCTGGCAGTTTGGAAAAGTCGAGCATTTGAGACATCTCTAAGTTCCACCTCATGGGAGCCAGCTTTGTGCTGATCCTTCTCAAAGAAATTATTCACTCAACTGGGGTCACGAGTCCTGTTTTTACAGTGGGACAGACCCCAAGTCACATGGCACACGTGGGACGGAGCAGAGCCCTGAATTTTTCCAGGGTTACCTCTACCAACGTCCAGAAATGACTGCATGAATGAGGGTGTGAGAGAGCAAGATGTTTCCCGAACCCCGGAGCCAGTCCTTCCCTGAGGCTTTGGGCAAACGGACAGCAGTGAAGCAGGGCAGACAACAGACAGCCGGGTGTGCTCTGGAAACGGCTCTGGGGCCGCGCGTCTCTTTGGGAAGCTGTCAGGTAGCTGCTGTCCAGCTGATTCTGACTCAGGGTGACCCCACGCGTGCAGAGTAGAGCTGCCCCATCGGGTTTTCAAGGCTGAACGCTTTCAGACGCAGATCACCAGGCCTGTCTTTCAAGGCGCTCCTGGGGAACTTTGAACCACCAACCTGTCGGTTGGTAGTCTAGCACTTAAGGAGCCCTGGCAGCACATGGTGACAGCTGTTAACTGAAAGGTCAGCAGTTCAAACCCACCAGACCCTTGGCAAGAGAAAAGAACTGGTGATCTGCTCCCATAAAAATTACAGTCTAAGAAACCCCATGGGGCTGTTCTCCTTTGTCCCGTAAGGTCACTGTGAGTTGGAATCGACTTGAAGGCACACGACACCAGCACTTAACCATGCAGCCACCAGGGTCACCTCCTTGGCTGCTGTTGTTGTTGTTATTTGCCGTCGAGTTGGCCCCGACTCATAGCGACCCCTCCTTGGGTTTCCGAGGCAGTATCACTTGGAAGTAGGATTGCCCAACCTTCCTTCCGAGGAGTGGCTGGTGGGTTTGAACTGCCAGCCTTCTGGTTAGCAGTCAAGTGCCTTAGGCACTATGCTACCAGAGCTCCCCCTTGCCTGCTAGGTGACCATTATTTGAAAGCTCACAGCCTGCTAGCTAGGAAGTGTGATGCCCCCACCCTGGCCCACAATTCATGTGAGGAGATGGAGGGAGTAGGGCAGAAGTCGGGAGGCTTCCTCTGGGTGACCTTGAGGATCAGGTCCCCATCTGTGGAAGGAAGGCAGGGCCAGCCACTGGCCAATGGTCAAGGTTGGGGGAGGTCAGAGGAACCTGGGCTGGCAAAGGTTCATGGTCACCCCGAGCCAAGTACATTACGTAAAAGAAAAATAAAAAAATCAAACTCACTGCTGTTGAGTCCATTTGACTCATATCGACCCCTCCTTGGGTTTCTGAGGCAGTATCTCTACAAAAGTAACTCTTCCTTCTGAGGGGTGGCTGCTGTGTTTGAACTGCCAGCCTTCGGTTAGCAGTCAAGTGCCTTAGGCACTACGCTACCTTAGGAAGCAGGACTGTGATATCCCCATTTCAAAGGTGGGAACCCTGAGGCCAAGGCTCATGTGAGGGCCAGGATATGACTCCAGATCTGTCCCATCCTTGAACCCACACTCTCCATCTCCCTCCAGGACCTGCCTCTCAGAAACACTCCAACAACTCCAGTCAGTCTGTGCTGAGTCAGGCAACGGCACCATGGCCACCCTCACTGCCCAGGGGGAAAGCAGAGGGCACTCACCTGTCTCTTGGAGGTCGCCGACGTCCCCGGGTGTGAAGTCCGTGGCCTCCTGGCCCTTCACACAGCATGCCCGGAAGACCAGCCCACACTGGTAGCCGGCCATGAGGTTGTACTCACAGCTCTGGCCCTGGGCCTGGGCCGCCTTTCCCAGCAGACAGCAATGGCAGCACCTCTGCAAACAAGTGGAGACCATGTGGAGAAGATGAACGGTCGGCTGGCCTCCCTGCTTCCAAATCTCCTAGGGCCAGCATGTGCCGCTCCACGCCCCTGCCCCAGTACTGAATGCCCTCAAACCTGTCCGGTGGTGACCAGGCTCTGGCCACACGTCTCCAGGAAGGCAGAGCCTCACAGAGGGCCACACGAGCTCCTCAAGGTGTCCCTTTCTTGTGTGTGCTCTAAGGTTTTTCTAGCTGGGCCCCAAAGAAGATATACAGACGTGTCTTTCCCTCCCGAGCTCGTCCGGTAGTCTGGACAGCAGGATTGGCACCGTGCATTTGACAAGCACAGGCGCTTCGGGCCAAGTCATCAAGCAAGGGACAGAGTGGCTGCCTGCCCCCTGTACCCCCACATTCCCAAATGTACACGTGAGCCCGTCTCCTCACACCTGAGTCCCTGCGACCATGTTCACGTGGCACACAAAAAGCCCCACTTCAGTCCTTACTAAGAGGTTCTCCTAAAAAGGGCCCAGAATGTTCCAGAAGGCCCACGGGGAAGGCCCACGGAGGAGCCAGGGAGGTGTGGTTTATGGGGGAGTTTCTGTGAAGGCTGACGGGCCTCTCCAGTGCCGCCAGGACAGAGCCGGGTTGCTGGTTAACTAGTCTACCTTTTGGGGTGTGAGTCATACTTCCCGGAAACCCCAGTCACTCGCCTGCCAAAGCCGTCGGCTCACACTCCCACAGAACATTCCACACTTTTCCACACCTCCCTGTCTCTCATGTCTGGGGCCCCAGGCACAGCTGTCTGCCAGGCAGACAGTGTCTGCAGACCCCTGGACCACACCAAGCTGCCCTCACCCCACACAGTTCCCTCGAGCCAGGAGCCTGCCCCCACGAAAGCCTGCAGAGGCCCAGAGTGGCCAGGTGGGCCCTGGCCCCCATCTCCCGGCACGCGGAGTCCTCTCTGTGTCCCAGTCTGTGTGGGGAGAGAATTCCCGGAAAGGAAGGGCCGGGCCAGAGAAGTCACGGCCCCTGCTGGAACCCGGACTTCTTTCCTTCAGATTCTTGCCCCCTAAAACCCGTCCATGGCATCCTGACTGAGAACGGACCGTTTCTCTCTGGGGAACTCATTCCCCTCGGCCGGCACCTCCTGCAGAAGCCAGGCTGACTTCCACACCCAAGCTCCCCTGGCCAGCTAAGCGGGCAGCAGGGGCATAGCCGGACAATGCCCTTTGTTTGCAGCTTTCAGAGCCAGAGGTGCTGGCCGGAGCACGCCCAGGCAGAAGACACACACTTTTTGACGGTAGCACGGCCCTCGGTAACCCGGCCTGGCCTTGCAGACCCAGGAGAGCCCTGCCTGCTCCCAGACCCCGGCCCTGCCGGGTGTGGGTAGACCCTTCGGGGCTGCTGCCGAGAGGCCGCTTTGGAACGTGGGCCTCCCTGAACTTCAGTTTCCCCTTCTAGGGTGGTTGTGATCATGATGCCTCAAGGGGGGGCATTCTGAGTTCTACCCAATGAGCGCTAAGGGCAAGGAAGTTGTAGGGCCTGTGGGGGGCCTGGGAGACACCTACTCTGACCAGAGAAGATGCTTCTAAGGGCCTGGCCTCTGTGTTCCTGCCTGACACCTGGAGACTAGAAGGCCACGGCAAGGCTGGCCACTTCATTCCTCCCTGTCTCCCCAGCATGTGCCAGGCCAGGGTCTCCGAACTAAATGGAAGGAAGTCGGGGAGTATATGGCTCCTCACCCTCCTGGCCGGGCACCCCTCCTGCCCCACACTCACACGGAGAGGTAGACTCAGGACACGGGACACAGGGGAAAACGAACAGGCCTCCCTGCTAGTGGACAGCAGAGGCTGAGCTGGGAAGAGGCAGCCCCTACTGGCTGGGAGCGGGCACCGGGCCTGGGAGCGCCTGGGCCCTGCTGGGCTGGGAGGGGGAGAGCCTGCCTGGCTGAGAGGAGGCAGGGCCTGCTGGGATGAGAGGGGGCCTTCTGGCTTGGAGGGTGCAGGGCCTGCCGGCTGGCAGGGGACCAGGCAGCAGGCCCAGCCCCCCATCCTCACCTTAACGACCACGGCTTCGAGGCCGGCCCCCGGCGCGGCGCAGCCCTCGCCCTGGTTGGCCAGGTTGATGCCGGCGGCGCAGTGCAGCTCCTCCAGCTGGCTGTGGCAGCACTGCTCCCGGACCATCCTGTGGACAGAGGGCCGTGGGCCAGCAGCTGTCAGCCCGGGCCCACCTCCCACATCCACCACCCAGCAGGGGCCCCAGGAGCGTCCGGGATCGAACACAGGCAGTGCCCGGGGTGGGAGTCGGGGGCCCAGCTGAGCTCTAAGCCTCACCCACAGACACTGCCACCTTCTAGAACAAGCGAAGCTGCTGCGGACACCAGGCCAGAGCCCTTCACCCTCCTTCATATCGGTCATCCCTTTGGCCAGACTCGGGGAGATGCGTTTGGAGAGGTGAGCTGGCACTGGTGGTGCCCAGCCTCTGCACCCCCATCTCCCAGCCCTGTCCAGGACCCCGAGAAGCCATGTGCACAGGGAGTGTGGTCGCAGAAGGACCACTGCCTGTTAGAACCCGCTCTCCGGGGCAGGGAGCAGCAGGCATTGGCGGCGAGAGGTGTGTGTGAGTCATCGGTGGGCCTCCAACCAAATCCAGAAAAGCCCCTGCTGCAGCCAGAGCTGCCGAGGCCAGGGGAGCCGCCCGGCCTGCACTGGGCCAGGCTGAGAGGGTGAGGCCCACCAGCCTCCCCGGGTTGCCAGCTAGGCTGCCTCCGCCTCAGGCCACAGCTCCCAGCACCCACCTTCCCCAGTCCACCGACGCCCTTGTGGGGCTGAAGGTCTGCCCCGGCTGTCCCTGTGTTTCCAGAACCACCCTCAGGCTGCAGGATGGATATGCGTAGTCTGTGCTAGCACATGTCTTAGATGTGCTTTTGCCGGGCTTGCAAATACAGGCAGTTATGAATGGGAGCCAAGATCTGTTGCTAACTGTGTCTTTAAGAATTGGAAGGTAAGGTGGACCAGGTGCACACAGTTGTTGGTTAGCCTCACTTTACTGCAAGCAAAGGCTGGAAGTGTTTTTGATGACTGAAAAGCCGCGCGTGCAGCACATGAAGGCCACTTTGATAAAGAATTTGTTGCAAGTAGGGGTTGGTTCAGTCGTTTCAAAGTGGGGGCAAATGTACTTAACACTAAAGGGCAAGGTGGAGTTGGCTGCAAGGCGTCTGTAACTCAGGGATGGCCTGCGATGGGTAGGATTTCACTAAATTGTCAGGGAGAGCAACCAGATGGTCATTCATCCTTCCACCCACCTATCCACCCACCCACTCACCCACCCATCCATCACCCATCCATCCACCCACCCACTCACCCACCCATCCCATCCATCATCCATCCATCCACCCATCCATCCATCCTATCTAGCCATCTGTGGTGGTTAAGTTTGTGTGTCAGCCTGGCTGGGCCTGGTTGAGTGGCTAGGCAGCTGGATGTAGTATCTCCCCATGATGAGACTGGTAATCAACTCCACGGTGGAATCTACTGTGAGCAGCTGAGTAGCTTAGGTATGTGGTCTGCTTCCTGTATATAAGGAGAAGCCTTGGGGAACAGTCTCTAGCTTATGGCACCTTGAACCCTGCATGTAGCCGTGTTGTTGTTCAGCAGCCTGCCATGCTCTGCCGACCTTGGGACTTTCAATGGATTTGAATGAGTGGCCTGCTATGTGGTTTGGCAACATTGGGACTTGTCAACCTTGCCCTAGTCAGCCTCAGCAGCCAGCAGCTGTCTGAGTGAAGAAAAGCCTCTACTTTCAGTGGGCAGAAGCAGGAAGCAAAGCTGAAGCCCAAGGTTGAGGGGCTTTCACCCAGCCCCTAGAGCCTGGCACTTTGAACTCAGACTTAAAGGTTCCAAACTATAAGAGAATAAACTCCTGTTTGTTAAAGCCATCCTATTTGTGGCATATTCTTGTCAGCACTACTAGGTAACAAGAACACCATCCATCCATCTATCATCTATCTACCCAACCACCCAATCACCACCCATCCTATCCTTCCATCCATCATCTATCCTATCCATCCCTCCACCCACTCATCCATCCATCCATCCACCATCTACCACTCATCCTATCTATCCATCCACCCACCCATCCATCATCCAGCCATCCACTCACCCACCACCCATCTACCCGCCTACCCATCCACTCATCATGTATCCATCTACCCACCCACCCATCTACCCATCATCTACCCACCCATCCACCCATCACCTACCCACCCACCACCAATCTACCCACCCACCCACCCATCCATCATCCATCCATCCATTTACCCATCCATCCATCCATTCATTGAAAAACATCAGCTGAGGCCCTGCTTTGTGCCAGGAGCTTTGCAGAAGCTTCATGGATGCAGGAAGAGTCGGCCTGGCGGGGGAAGGACAGCCTCACACAGCACTCAAACTTCGGGAGCACAGCTACACACTCTGCCCTGGAGGGGCCTGGGTGGAACAAGGAGCCTGCAGTGGGAGTTGGGAGACCTGGGTGCAAATAGCTGTTCTCCATGACCTGGACCAGTGATCTCACCTGTAAGCCTCCACCTTCTCACCTGCTAAGTCAGGCACACAGCACTATACTTGATGAGCTTATTACAAGGGTCTAGTGAGATCATAGGAGCTCTGGTAGCATAGTGGCTAAGGCACTTGACTGCTAACCAGAAGGCTGGCGGTTCAAACCCACCAGCCACTCCTCGGAAGGAAGGT